GCCATACCAGGAAGACCTTGAGGACCCGGAGGACCAGCAATGCCAGGCAGACCATCTCGACCGTTCCTGCCGGGAGGACCACGAGGACCTTGGGGACCGGGCCCACCGGGAGCTCCATCGGAACCAGGCGGTCCCATTGGGCCGGGAGGACCGGGAGGTCCAACTGCACCCTCTGGACCATCTGGACCTGGATCACCACGAGGACCTTGGGGCCCCATTGCTTCCGTCGGGCTGGTGACTTGACCTAAAGTCAAAAAATAAAGAAATGTGAAGGGCTTCATTAATCAGTGTTTTTGGCGATTCGGCAAAGTTGTTGCCTCCCAAGTTATGGGAGTGAAACAGAATGGCGAATTCCGTAGCCATCGCCAATTTAGCGTAGTTCAGACGTTCTTGATATCCCTTCCCAGTATACCATGCCAGTTAATATTGAACCAGAAATCGAGTCGCGAGATTTTTACGACGATCGTGACTTAACTTAGTATACTCAACTTCACATTTAGAATTATGCTATGTGCCTTTTCACCTTCCTGGTGGACAAAGAAATAGATAAATGCGAGTATAGCAGCCACGACAAAACAAGAGGATAGAGAGGATCGCGTAACTCACCAATAACCCCAAAGACGAAGCATGAGATTAAGAGGAAGCAAAGAATCCCATGTTTCAGGAGAACTTTCCAGTTCCCCATTCCACGGGAGGCGACCATAGTGAATGCGCCACCACAAACTCACGAACACACGCAAGTGGGAAGTTGCACTGCTGTCGACGCTGGCTTCCCTCTCGGTGTGCTGCGACGGCGATGCAGTTTATTCTCACTACAGAGGACTGGGCAGCTCCACCAGTACCGCCTTGGGCCTCCTCCCACCTACACACACACACACACACAGGATGGATGCTTACATGCACGCACGCGTACACACACACTTGCCGTCCGATCGATTTCTGGGGGTAACGGCAGCCTGTTGACTGCACGCACACGCACGCACCTACGGACAAGTCAACCTATTAATCTGACAGGTGATTGGCTAGACCGCCTCGTCCGTTCAACCATTCACGTGAATGTGAGTGCTAGTAAGTGGGGCAGTAGGGACGACCTGGTTTTGTGCAATTACCCGAAAGAGAAATAAGTAAACGTAAATCCTACTGACAAGTGTCATCGGCTCGGGTATAGATCTAAAATATGCATTAATGATCTAACAAGTAGCAATACTCTTATTTGGCAAAAAAAGGCCATTTGATGTACTAATTGGAAAGGTCGTTGGTAGGCTGTTTGGATATACCTTTGCCCAATCAATTTTCTTCCACTGTTTTGGGCCTTTTTAGTCCAAGTATTCCGAGGCGGCCTAATTACTTATTAAAAGAATGATTTTTTAGGAGGGCTTTTAAAAGGCTCTCTGTTGCACTATGCAACTGATGAGGAAGTAGGTCACGGTAGCAATTGGATGCTCTTGCGATTCATGGGGAATTGACACGACGGTGAATCTACTTCACTTGACTCCTACCAGAAGGAAGCGGAATGAATCTACTGAATAAACAATCATAAGTAAATTAACAAATATATAAGTACCCCTGCGGATGAAGAAGACATTTCGAGTACTCAACGGGAACTCCAGCATTGGTTACGCGCTCGATTGGTAGTTTTGAGGCCAAGTTAAACCCACATGGTATCACTCGATCTTTTCAGCTTCCCGCAAATTACCATCCATGCCATTTCAGGGTCCACTTTTTCAGTCCTTATGTGTGTCCATGGTGAATGCACTCCATAATTGGCATGGATGCAACTTAGACGGTAGCGGCTGAATATAGTTACTGTCTCTACAACGTGAGAAATGCTAAAAACAACGACGTTAGCCGCCATATTTGGTGGCGGAGGGAAACTTGTGCCGTAGTCATGCATACTACTACAAATTAATGAGTAGCAAGTAGGGTGCATGCCTCTCATCGAAGGAAAAAATGAACGACCCTGCCCGCCTACTAATTTGTCATGTAAGGAGTCAGCCCGCCTTGGGGTCCCAATGCGAACTAAATTATTGCGTGAAGGAGGTAAAAGGCACGCCGCATTATGGCGGTATCAATGTGAACCCCCCTCCTCCTTCTTGATTCATCCAAAAGGCTTGCAAGATCACATCTACAACGCCAGAAAAACATTCACGTTGCATGATTCTAAAATTGCCACCTTTTTCATATCAATAAATTAAGGAATGCTGATATCAGCGATTTATTTCATTGAAAGGTAACAATATAAGGCGAGGAAATGGGCGAAGTGGTAGAATACAAGGGTCCATACACGCAGTGCAATCCCAATTAAGGGAAGGGGGCGGCAGCGGGGCGTATTTTACGCATAATAATTCAAATTTGTCTTTTTCTTTGACTGCACCTCAAGAATGGCATCCATGTAGTCCTCATGCACGACCTGAGTGGCATTTCTGCGCAGAGCAATCATACCCTACATAGGGCAACAAGATCAACCGTACAACTCAATGGAAACAGACTTCAATCTAAATTTAACGCGATTAGACGAAAAGAAAACGAAACGATTTCCCTGGAGATACAAGCACTAGTGACAAAACACAATGAACGGAAGTTGACGCTTTTAGAACTTTAGACTCACAGCCTCGACACAGACAGCTTTGCACTGTGCACCATTGAAGTCATCTGTACATCGAGCAAGTTCTTCGAAGTTCACGTCTTCGCTGAAATTGAACAGGCATTTGGTGCAATCCTTTCCAAAACATACTCTAAAGATCAACCTTAAAATACTGCTTCTTCCATTGACTTTAGATATCACAATTCTTTAACTCAGGGACATGGTGATGAAAACCAACCGGACACGATGTCACCCGCATCGCAAATATTTGTTAATATCGTTTTTTGAACTCGGTAACCAACAAAACTGAATTACTGGAGAATTGAGAGATTGACCAAAATCATCGAGGAGATACCTTTAAAATTACAATCGAACAATCGCGCAGGTTGGCTATAGGTACGACACCAAAAGTTGATGAAGGATTCCATTTCATTTGTAAACTAATAACCTTCTAGTGGATGACTTCAATATTTTACGCAAACAAATACGCGGCAATAAAGAAGCGTCAAGTTGAAATAAACAGAATCGTACATAAAATCACGGACTTAAAGCGCTTGATAAAACAGGTAAGCTACAATACCGAAGGCTTACTGGACGTTCATTTTTCTTGAGTGGATCTGCATGATGCGAGAGCGAGCTTCTTCGTTGGGAGTAGGGAACTCGATTTTACGATCAAGTCGACCACTGCGAAGGAGTGCGGGGTCTAGAATATCCACACGATTTGTGGCAGCAATGACCTTGATCTCGTGATTTGGTTGAAAACCATCCAGCTGATTTAACAATTCCAACATCGTGCGTTGAACTTCACGGTCGCCGGCCTTTTCACTGTCAAAACGCTTTGTGCCTACAAATGATAGAAGCATAAACGTCCACTTAACAAACGCAAAATATGCAGCTGGAGAGCTCGAGACGCAAAATTGGGAAATATTGGGTTCCCATGACCAGACACCCAAATAACACATTACAGAAAATTGTCAAAAATTTGGACATCCCACTCCCAAACATGTAGGATACCCATAAATTAAACTACAAATTAAACACCAAAACAGAGAAAACACACACACCACCATATCCTAAGTCCACGCAAATACGAGTTACACCATTATAAAGGTACACATAATTAACCACTTAAACCTACCTATGGCATCTAACTCGTCAATGAAAATTATGGCAGGAGCCTTTTCTTTAGCAAGCTGAAAGGCATCTCGAACCAATTTGGCGCCGTCACCAATAAACATCTGAACAAGTTGAGGTGCAGCCAGTTTTAAAAAGGTTGACTTCGTCTGAGCTGCACAAGCACGAGCTAGTAGCGTTTTTCCGGTTCCAGGCGGACCGTAGAGGAGGACGCCTTTAGGAGGCTGGATGCCAATAGCATCAAACCTATCCTTATGGGTCATTGGGAGGACAACAGCTTCGATCAATTCTTGAATTTGTTTATCGAGTCCACCAATGTCGCCATACCTCTCAGTAGGCCTATCATCAACTTCCATGGCCTTAACACGAGAGTCGAATTCAGCTGGAAGTTTTTCAAGAATAAGATAGGAGTCCTTATTGACGCCTACAAGGTCGCCAGGCTTGAGTTCCTCATGTGGGACAAGACCAATAACGGGGAGGAAATACGTCTGACGCGTGCTTGTTTTAACAACGGCGCACTTCCCCTTTCTTTGGGAATCTAAGTCCACATTGGCACCGTCTTCTTCTTCGTCTTCAGGTTCAACATCCAAAAGCTAAAGGTCCTTAAGCAGAAGAGTGGCAACTCACCTCAACAACTGTCGCAACAAGATAAGGAAGAGCTTTGTTCATCTTAATTTTGCTCTTACTATCCTTAACTTTTGACTGCTTCATTTTAATTTCATGATCAACTCGGTGTAACTCAGACTTCATTATCTGTGGGAATTAAAATCATACAAGACTTACGCGAATTTCGCCGTCGAGTAAACGAGTATGAACGACCAGCTCCTCTGTAGACATCCGCATGACTTCATCAATTAAAGACTCCTTTATAAAAATCACACATTAAAAGAACTGTGATAGCCTACATCGACATCGTCCCAAACAGGTCGCTCAATCGAAGTCATTTTCCCACTAAGAAAATTCGATGGATATTTACACGAAATCACTCCCGACCTGGGTATAGTTCGTCAGAACGCTATAGCTATGGTGAAAATAGTAGGAATTATGTCGCATGCTGCACCAAACAGCACTATTAGATGAAAAACGGGTAGCTAAGACGACAACACTCCTATTAAAGCGACAGAAGACCCAACTACTTAGTTTTCTAACCTGCCACTGGTCGCAAACTCAAAAGCAGTCTATTTGCATACCAATCTAAGCAAGGATTTTAAATGAGATTCCTAGTAGGGAATATATTTAAAGACTCATGGGCATAAAACTGAAATTTAGAATTCGCAAAGAAAGTTTTTAGCATTTAATTAGCCTGTAATGAAAGAGTCAAAATAAGAAGGTTTTCGGCAGAGCACAATAAAGTTAAGACTCACATGTTAAACTCGACTTGCAGTACAAAAAAAACTTGTAGAGTTAATACTTTCTAAAAAAGCCAAACTGCAGCACTGTAGAATATGCATTCTTAGCAAATTAATATAATACTGCAGCAGTAGCAAGAATAATGATGCCTATTATGCAAATGACCAAGGGATGGTTTTCACAAAAAACATTCCTATTCTTTGCCATTTACAATAACAAGTTGAGTGTGGGTTCAGGGACGTCGAAAAGCAAACAAAATTTTGAAAGGGCACTACAGTCATTAAAAAATAGCACAAATCACACAATGATCTGACGAGTAAATAGCAAGCGTAGTCTAAAGGTAAAAGGAAAAGAGCAATAGCGAAAAGGCGACCAAACCAGGCGGTCTATGCTGTTAACAATCCATTTAAACCCTATTCGAGGCTAAGGGAAAGGATTCATTCAAAGGAGAGGCGAATGGGTAGCCATTAGGCAATTGTGAAATTATGCATCTTAGAATGAATCACATTAGAATTCTCAAAGCATTTTCACGCATATACCTTAAATCATCCATGATCAGTTAATCCACAAAACCCGCTAAGCATTAATAAGGTCAAAATGAACGGTGGTGGTACAAAATCACTTATTAATTGAAGAAGGGAGTAGCATAGCTAGGAATGGGGGAAACAGCATCAATGACGACAAGTGGTGCCTGGGGGATTGCATGAGTCTTCGTAGATTTGATAGGCAAAGGTGACTGGAAACAAATTCTTCTGTGTTTAACCAACTATTATTTGCAAGCTCAACTGCTAGTCCACCTACCAGCCTACCGAGTGATCGACCGACCATCCATGAATAAATCGGTAGAAATGGTGGTAGACATGGAGCACAAAACAAATACAGAAAATCAAGCAGACTAGACTCAACGAAAACAGTCTGGGCTAGACTAGTTGTATTAAAATCTGCAACACAGTGCTCTGAGGTGTTTTGTTGTTAGAAGTTTCCGTATGCGCGACTGTCTTTTTGCCGCAATCCAGGCTGCGCCAGATCCACTATTACTGGCAGTGTCGATGGACGGTGGTGGGGGCGGCAAGTAAAACCAACCACCACGAAAATAAATTTTTCTACCTCTTTTGGCTGACTGGCTGACTCGCACCAATTTGCAAGCATGATAAAGGAGAGTGAGGCCCATTCTCCACCTCCTCCTGGATGTGCAATGACGGACACTCACTGCCAGAGAGTAGGCTAAGAAGCCGCACCAACTCGAATTGCGTTGGCACGAAGTTATTCCCCATAAAGGTGCTTGAATTGTACCAACGAATGGTATCACCTCCATCCACGACTCCAGTCAATCAAGGGAACCTCCAGCGAACTACCTTAAAGTACATCTTATGGTATGCGAGATAGATCGACTTCGGCTGATAAATGCAAACAGGTGCAGCCTTGATCAGTGCGGAGCCATTGCATTTCTCTCCCTCCCTCTCTCTCCACTTGATGTCAATAAGGACGGGGAGGATACTATGATGCAATAGAAATGGTAGGTTAAATAGCCGGCATTGACGGTAACAGATGTCATTTTTGCCGCTTTGCTAGAAATCGAATGATTCATGAGGCCATGACTATGTTGGAATGGCCGAGGCAGGAAGGTTACCAAGGCAAATGCCTATTTTTGAAACAGACTTTTCTGTCTCCACAGTCTCTATTAACTTATTTCATCCCCTCATCTCTTTGATGCACTCTGACGGCCTTTTAATGCTGCTTTGATTAGGAAGGACCTGGTTCGCTTCCTCGTAGAAAGCACAGCTTCAGTCCTTAAAGTGCTTCACCTAGTCGAGCACTCCACTCCACTTCCGCTAACTATGACCCCAGGATACGTGCACAGACGATGATTTACTGATATAGCCAGTAGAAGGAGACAGGAGACAGCTTGGCGGAGAACGTTGGGGTTCCGCACATGTGTGTAGACCTGAACAGCCACGTACATTGCTGCCCACCTGCCTGTTGACGTGGCAACACATCGTGCTATGTCACAGTGATAGTCTTCCGTCCGGAGAGCTGCGTGTGGAGAAGGGAATAAGGGGTTGATTAAATAGAGTGCCAGCAGAAGTTAGACAAACAGTGGGATATTCTGTTATAAAGACTTACCGGTAATTTGAGGGTTCCACCTGTATTGTGGTAGGACCACGATGAAAGCAAGGGGCGATAAAATGCGCTTCATGACATTGATAGCTTATCTACCAAATTCCAATCTCCATTATACGTGATCGCACAGCATATACCATGTCTTATCAACAATTTTTTTCCTTTTTTTCATCTCTTTCGTCTGTGTGTCTGACTGCAGATGCAACCATGTCCTTGACATGCTTATTGTGCCAACCATCATTGAAGTCAAGATGCCAAACCTAATTCGCTGTACAAAACGGGTTGATAGCAGGAGTGGAGCCTCATCGTCCTCCATCGTGCCGTAAATAATGATTCTCCTGGTCTTGACATTCTTCCATTACTCTCCCAATACCACTGCTCCACCTACTCTGTGTGCGGCCCCCTTCAAAAGACATTGGACTAGATAGTTGCAATGGTCGATTGGTAGATGGATTGAGAGATAGGCGAGCAGTAAGCACCCCGATTAACTGCACCTTTCCCGTCTTCCTTCCGGCATTAATTTCCTTTGTTTACACGGGCATCCATGTGGAGGGTTGATGGGATAACTGCAACTCTGGCGAAACAGGGTTAGTTGCCCTTCCCCAGGTACTTTAGCTCCACTGCACTTGAGTGGGCAAATCTACACACTAGTATTGAGGCTAGCTGTCCCTCAGACCATAAATTTGAACGTACTGTGGAGTGGCGGACCCTCGCCATACGTGTTTGTACCTGTCCATACAAGGATGGGAGTAGAGACAGTTTGGCGGTCATTCGGCCATCCGACGTGACCCGTTGCGACTTGCCGAGCGAAGGTGCGGGAAAGGAGGCGGGTAAAAATGCGTCTCTCGTTGCGGGAATGTAGGACGGATAGGCTGATCTGTCCTTACGTGGTGGATTGACCGAATGACTACTTGATTTCCACATGGGGATTCATTTTGATAATTCGTTTGATTTTATATCAGTGAAAACCAAATCCCTCCTGTTTAGATGTGGTATCAACCCTCAACCCTGACAGATATAGAGATGCAGTTGGCACTCTTCCCTCTCCAATCTATGGCACTTCAGACGTAATTCGGCAAGATAGCTGAACCTCAGCTTGAAGGAGAAGAGGGTGTTCTCTGTACCCTTTATCTGTATCGACATCTCCATCTGCCTTGTAGAATTTGTGGAGTAGAGGATTGGATCTGAAGTTTAAAGTTAAGTAAAAGAGCCAAAAGTTGGTTACCAAGTAGTTTGTGTTGATCGGGCCCTAGTTTTCCTGTAGGGTGCATTAACATCACGAAACCAGGCAACGGCTATCAGCACAAATATGAAGTGCCTACTTATAAGCCATCAGTAAAAGCGATACAGAACTAGATATTCCTTAGAAGTGCAAAAAGGTAAGTTAGGACTCTAGGTCGTGCTTTCCTTTTGCATATAAATTGCAATCCTATCAAGCTAGTTATGTGAAGAAAACGTTCGTTTGCGCTATTTGGCAGCACATACGTATACACCCACTAACCCATGTGTTTTCTTTTTCCACATGCCATGCTGTTGAAGGCAACGAATTATAACAAAAAAAGGTACGTTCAAGGCTGGCCTTCGAACCATGCCAGTAGATCCCGGTCAACTCTACGTCTGCATCACATATACTGCCCAAGCGTAGTGTCGTCGTTCGTCTTCAGAGTAACCTCTCAATGGCACACTGGCAGCAGCGGAAAGCAAACACTATCTTAAAAAGATACGCCTCCACTCATCTAGCTGTGGTAGCGGTATAAATCCACACCATCACAGTACACATCACAAATTACTTGACTAGGAGTCATGGTCTAAAATCTGAGTCCCTCTTCCTGCCGTTGGTTGTTAAGTAGTTTGACATGAGAGCGGATTATCTAACAATTCTCAACTCCAATAACCCAGCAGAGAGGGACTTTAGAGACACGAATGAGTAAACATGTATGGTAAGGTGGACTTCTCATGGTACAAAGACACTAACA